ATCAACAACAGTAATCTAGGGTTTTGTAATGTCAGAAACATCCTGCTCGTGCAAACATATGGATTTTATTTGATTATAACTATGTGCTAGAAGTTTTAAGAACTGACGATCTAAATCGTGGTCATTCACACCAGCAATCAAATGATCTCTCAGGTGTTTCGTCAAGCTTATCCTCAAATGCATGCGATGAAGCTTGCGACTGAAGTTGGAAAATGAAATCTTGGACAGAATGATTAGATTGTTGAACTTTAACTTTCGCCAACCACGAAATGTTCGGGTAATAAATGAATCAAAAAGAAGTCCTTCAACTTTACATGAGATAATTTTGATGGTAATTGAGGATAAGCCAGCTTTTTCAAAAGTGTATAGGCCTCTCGTTCAACAGCAGTTAACAGGTGAACGCCTCTCAAGTCACCGCGAAGTTCAGCTTTGGTGAACCACTATAGCTTGAATTTCTCCGAGCTGCAATTACGTTTAAGGACTCAATAGTTGTATTCATTTTGTTCTAAACCCTGACCACGACGGCAATTTTAGTAGGTTCGGAATGGTTATAGATTTAGGCTCCAACCAAGCTAATCCCGACACATAGTGAGAACACACGAATTGGAATCGAATTGCGCATATTTTTTAAGTCAGTTGGTGAAACAGAATAACTGTAATCAATTATTGATTATTGTGTATAATCATCACAATAGCCCCGTAGAACATGGTTCACAGAAAACCCCAAGGTTGCAGTGATGGCTTATGTGGGCCTAAAAGTTAAAATGTGGGCGTCTTACAACTTCGCTCCTGGGTGATGGTTTGAAAGGTTGTGTCATCTGCAATAAGTTGTAGAGAAGCGGAAGGTAGTGCTTGCCTGGACGACAGAAAAATCATGAAAACGAGGGCGCACGGAAACGGAAACAGGCGCAATAAGGGAGCGCAGGTGGAGCCACCCTAGCCTGATGGAAAGAGACGAGCAAGGGTCACGAGCGGCGTCCGTTAGTGAGGCAGGGCGAGGCAGAACAGTGAGAGTATTCGTCGAGAACGCAATAAATAGACAAAAACGTCATTATTATGGCCCCCGGACCGACCCTAAGCAGTGTGATACATCCATGGTCAAGCAACTCAGGAGCTATCGAACGACTCCGGGTCGATCAGAATGGGACGCGTATAAGCGGATATACGGCGATGAAATGTATAGGAAATATTCCACGTGTGGTGATGGGAAGCCGGGAGAGACGGTGCGTCATGGGAAGGAAACATGACTCATGACTTTCGCGTTAAAATCACCAATTCCCTAGGTTTGAACATGCTTTCGACCCTGTTCTCTTGGGAGAGATCACTTGATGATTTGTACCAAGAATTGCCGGTAAAAATTATTTTCATACTGTGTGACATACCCCTAGTGCTGTTACCATTCACTATTTCATTGCGTTGAGACACACCTGTAATAGAAACCCTTGAAACTGTAAAATCAATGAAAGTCACATAAATGTTTGCCTTTCATGCATGAGCATGACATACTCTGTAAAACATGATCTGTGCCAAATATGGCCACAGTTTTTCACTCGATAAGAAATATACCCATTATCATTCATCACATCATCCTTATCTGCAGCAAGCGGAGTATTAATCTCAAAATTATTGTGGAGCGCCCTCAACTGTATGCATCTGATGGCTGTTTGGTTTTCGGGTTTGTTTCTGCCTGCCGTTTCCTACTTTCTCGTTGTAGCGAGGTTTTGTCTTCCACAACTCTCGAAAGCTTGAAGGTCGTATTAAACATAATGAGATAGCACTATTGAGTGTTTAGCGATTAGTTCCTTGTCGAACTGGAAAGGTATGGGGCACTCATGAAATATTACGTCTTTGCCCAGTCTGATGCAACTGGACCAACAAGATTGTATACCGCATGTAGTGTGAAGCATTTTCAGAACAGAAAGAAATTGAGTGTTGCGCGACCGAAAACACTACACTCCATGAGGCATTTCGATGTTATTTCATCTCATCGGTAGCTCGTCTGGTCCATCAAAACCACAGCATTGCGTGAACAACGTACTCGATTGTGTGCTTCGGTCGAAAATGTGTGTATCAGTACGCTGCACTGCTTGAAGTTTGTGTTGTCAATATTTGAGAACGATTCGAATAAGGCAGCTATATTCTGTAACGCGAAAATGCCAATTCAAAAAATAAACGAGAACAGAATAATCGCCTTGACATAAAGCTTTATGTCCCGTTTTTGCGGTAAAGTATATTGTTACTTTATGGCGTTTCTATCTTTAAGATTGTTCAGTATGCATTTGACTAAAAAGAACGCAATTCGGTGTGTGCACGCAAATAAAGGCTCCATTACGATGAATGAAAAATGGTAAAAGCGAACGTTTTGATGAATGAACGGCTGCCAACCTGCAACACGTGGATGCATATGGCTGTAGACCACTTTATAAGCATATACGCTGCACTCCGACAGCAAACAGTTGGAAGTCACGGCCAAAAACAGTAATATACTAAATCTCAGAAATTGTTCACTAAAGCAAAAGTAAGTGTTCTCGGTACCTCGAGGAAAAATCAATGCACGAAGCTTTTGCCCACATCCTAAATGCTATTTAAATATTTTTTAACACCAACACTTTTATAAAAAGCGCTTCCTCGTATCCATTTCAGACACAGACTTGTGGATCACTGCCCTAGATTTTGCAAAGATTGAAATGTAGATGTGAGCATGTCCATTTTTAATGAAAGGTCAGGACATGCAGTTTCAGCTGTGGGTCGACATTTTTCAGGTACCTTTCTCAGGTCAGCAAGAAGTCCAAAGTAATTTCCCTTAGAGCCTACACTTATATGGGTATTTTCTTTAGTACTACTTCAAGCCTTTATGTGAAGTACTTTGCTTTGCTGTCTAACCTTCTGGACTAAAATGAAGGCATCCTGGCTTGTAATATTTTTTTCATCTGCCTTTAGTGCAGACACGATAAGGGAACCAAACATAAGATATACTGAATCAAAATAAAGGAGTTCTGATAATTGATTGCTAACTTGTGGTCTTTAACTCTAAATCCACGCCTTGATTAATACTGGTAGAAATGTAACTCCAGGAAACTGTACGAATCCGTAGGGCATTAACAGTACGCCGGAACGCAGTACCGACGCGTCGCTGCCGTGCGACCACCACCGGTCGCACGTGGGCTAAGGATACTGCCAGGGTCGCCTTGTCCCTACGCAGCCTCGAATCCGCGATCACAAGACAATCTCGTTACCATTAGACTACGGGCCGGCGAATCAGTAAAGAACAGAAAGTACGCACTACACTGAACTGTTTAAATCTCTGCCTTCGTGTCGCATACGGTGTTTCTACGGGAACGCGAGCTTTCCGCCAATTCTGGGTATGTTGCTTAGTCTTAGGTCCTGGTCTAATCGTCCCGATGACACACCGGTTAGCAGCTGCCTCAACACAGACGTTCTTGATTACCCGTGACAGGTCGCAAACGGATGCACGTGAATACAGATAAGCCTTGAAACGAAGCACCGGCTATCGATCCGGTCAAAGCGCCACTTGGCGTGGGCATTAGCGGTTTGTGGTCGGTGGGTTGATTTCAGAACATGTCAGTTTCAGTGACTGCGACAACAGTATACAACTTAGCGGTTGATCGCCTTTTGTAGCTGCCTCGCACAGCTACCAATAGAAGTAGTTGTGGAGATTTTAGGGGGCTCTTAAATTGGACTTCATAAAAAGTCACACTTTTTGGTATAGGATGCAAACCGAACAAATGTCGCATGTATGCCTCAACAGAACAAAAGCATAAAATTTGCAAATCGCCGGAATATAGTAGTCCATAATGCGTTAATGCGAGATATGTTGTGCGTTGGAAGAAGCACGTCGAGTCTGATTTAAAGAGTGTATACAGGCTGACATACGAGGAAATTTGGAGGCACGGTAGCAAAAGAGGCAAGTGCGTTAGAATATTCCGAGCAGTACGTCACGGGTTATGAACGATATCTAAGCCGGACCTCGCGTAATTGCATGATTTTTGGAGCACTTTTTGATATTGAGTGGTTCGGTCCTTGGGTAACTTGCTTTGTGTACACGTTCCGTTTCATTAACTACAGTCTGCAAGGTGCCCTGAATTATCTGGTACCACGTAACATCGCCCAATTAATATTCGCCTTTACGCTCGTTGTTGCTTATTGACCACCGGTCATATTTGCTGTCATTTGGTATTACTTTGACTCCCAGTGATTTCTTACGCACAATTGCTTGGTCTGAAACTGATTTTAGTCCATTCTACCCTAGACTTGTATGCAACTATATAAATTTTGTGTGTTTTGCAGGGGTATTACAAATCATTTGCAATCTTCTAAATGATAGATACCGTTATTTTTGCAACAGGGGTTCAACCGTATTTGTCGCACCTCAGTGAGGAACTCCAAAGTCTGCTACCTTTAGTTCTTCACTTTGCTGTTTTCCCTGCAAAAGACATTTGTCAATGGATATCCCTAGCATCTAGACTGAATCACTCAAGTAATATGTTCTGACGATTTCTAACAAGACCGAGCAATAGTCCTGCATTTTTTCCGATGTGTGCTGGCTGTCTAATTTATGGTAGCTTTGACGAATGTCCCTAGATTTCCTCACTTATCAAGTTTCCCTCACTTTAGGGGTTTCTTAACCAGTGTGCAGTAGCCTGTTACCCTATTTTTCTACTGCTGCAATGACTAACGGGTACTCAAATGAAGGCTTCGTTTTGTCACCCCCTTTTCCCCTTCCCTTTTCCTTCCTTATGGCAAACACGCATAGTCAAATCACATGGTCTATACCATTGAGCTTGGCACCAGTATCTCTCAAGGTCTGTCCTATCATGCGAGCCAATCGTAATCGGAAAATAGTGCTGAGCAGCTCGAATAATTAATTGATCATTCCTACCCTCTTGCATTTTCGTTGTGGGCTAGCTGGCACTTTCATTCGGTACTCGGAAATGTGCCAGCAGTTTCCTGCATGCAGCAGGAAATTGCAACACACACAATTCTATAGTAGAAAACATTTAATATCATTGTCAGTGACTTCTCATTAAATCCTTAGACAATCACAACAGACGAAAAGGAACTCGGTTTGTCTTGCAGTTATCCTTCCAATAAAAATGACAGTGAATGAATGGAATTGGTTCATTATGCTTTGGAATATGTAGCCGAGGAGCCTGGCGAACTTCTGCGCGTCATGTTCTGGAGTGCAACGTATTACCCACATATGGCCGGAGTAATCGATATTGAATCTGAAAATAACATGGAAACAGTTTTATGGCAATTTCATCCACTGACCTGCCTGAAAAATATCCCCCAATGATATGGTAATTATTTTCCCACCAATATTACGGATGCCATATGCCAGTTCTTCTCCATCCCATGAAGTAAAGTGCTACTTTATACAACTGTACCTTCGACACGTTGTTTATTGATGAATAGTCGATTTGTCACAGACTTCATCTATTATTATTGGCTTCTGTTTTTAAGGCACTTAGTATCTTCCAGCTGATTCCATATTGAACCGATGTCACTGCAAACAAAACGACCGCTCAGTCCTGCTAATGTTCAGTGTGGGGCGCGGGCACCTTATGCCAAATTGTGTTTGCGACTGAAGAGAACAACCGAAATTCACTAGTGTCAACTGGTCGCCTTATTTGATCGACAGTATGAATGACTGCTGACGATAATCCCGCTTCAATTTCTTCTGTCATTTGCTATATTTTTCTTTACTCGCACTGATGTAGTAATTCGAAACACTGCTAATTGAAAATAGGGTTGCTTAATATCTTGTTACTTCTTAGACAATATCTTCTTTCTCCTATCTACGTTCCTAGCGTAGGATTGAAAGTGCTGCGAGCGTGTTCCGCGTAACCGTCCTCAGGCAGCGTCAGGCGACATGTCGCTTACAATTAAAGGCTTCATTAAAATTAGTGAGACACGTTTCCTTATATATGCGAAAATGTGGAAACGAATGTTGCCGACTAGCTGTCTGTACTACACCAGTTTTGCCTCTCCTTTCATGCCTCAGCCTCATCGGTATGGTAAGTTATCCACGGACCACACGGTGCCCACTTCGAAGAGACTACAGGTTAGCTTAAGTATAACAGACCGCTACGAAGTTCACCTATCAAACCACACCAAACAAACGGCTGCAGTTGCACGTATGGTATATCGTCGTTGTAGTTAAGCTGAGCTCGTACGACTGTGTGTTATCGTGCTCTTAATCTTCACTCTCGTTTTTTGTGCCAATTATAGTTATGTTTGAGAAGAATGTTGGCAAGGCATCTACTCGCAGTTACCACCAGCTGGATGGTTTTATTTAAACTACTGATAATTGTTACTAGGGAATGCATGATGAACTATCTTCTTGACTTTGATACACTCAAATAACAGTTCCATCATGGCGCGGTCCATTGTCTAACCACTGCCCTGTGTAGGTCATCTGAATCACATGTTCACTCAATTTTGTATCGACAAAGTATGTATACAATAGGTATTGGTCAGCTCAGAGTCAGTCGTGGCTCAAACTAGCACACCTCCCGGTCTTATTCATTCGGGTCTACACCGGATTTTGGGCACGTGGGTGATAGTTCGCAGATAAAATACTACTCGAGTTTGTAAACATATGCCACCACACATGCTTGAAATCCATAGGCCATATTATACTGTTTGTTCTAAATGGTATGTTACTAGCTAACTAAGCTCGCCTCCCTCCTTTTTGCCAGTTCCAAAACCGAGCTATACAGCTTTGCCTCAGGAAGTGTTCCAATCTATCCGATTGACTGCCTAATTCGCACTTATTTCGCTACCATACTGAAGTATTTTACAAATGTTAAAACAAATTGGGTCTAGATTCCTAGTGCGCGCTAATTCGCATAAACCACGCCTGCATAATGGCGGTCGCTGGCCGATGGCTGTATTGTGGTCGCGATTGTTGCCTGTTACTTAGTTGAAAAGCATGACGTTTATCCGAAACACTTGCTCGCTGCCAGTCATCTAGAAGCTGTTCCGCCCCGCGCAGTTCCAAAGAGTCCACATTATTCAACACCTAAAATAAACCACAGACCAGAGGCAACTCTTGCTGATTTACCTCGCTGGATTTCCCCATCGTTTATCACGTTCTGGCCATTTGAACGAACTCCGAATTCTACCATAGCAAGAAAGAACAGTATTTCAACAAACTAATCGGAACGCGTGTGCTTTCTGTTCCGTCCATCGGCCATACCCCGTACATCCGAAGAATAAAGGCCACTTGGTTAAAAAGATGGAAATTAATGCCAGCGTCTCGGTTACCATAATCAGTGCTGCATCTGTCGTAAAAATGTACTGTTCACATTAAGTATCACTGGGGAATACGGAATTCTCCGATGTTCGTTATGGTGAACGATGCTCTAGACTTGTTTGTACGCGACTGGATTGAATGCATTCTGGCTACACTGGAGATGATGAGCTTCATGTCCAATAATCAGAGGTTGGCGGATGCGCCCGGAAATTGTGCTGATGTTTTTGAAGACAAATTGGGAGAACCAAGCGGACATCAGGCTGATACCAAAAAGCGAACTGGAATTCAACCCTTCTTCTGCAGGACACTTACCCTACCCTATTCCCTAAGGTCAAAAGGGAAAGACGAGAAAAAGCAGCTGCAATCGATAAGAACAATCGAGCCTATCCAATGCAGTGGGTGGGGAGCACCTATAGTTTCTGTCCTGCGGCCAGAAGTTTTTATGCTTGTATTTGTGGCAGGTACGAATTAACTTTTAATCGTCGTCTAATTTTGGCTAATTATCCCTTTCTCAACATAGTGGGTCTGTATGCTACGCTAACAGGAGGACGACTTTTCAGCAGATCGATCTCTATCACGTATCTTTACTAGCTGAGTTAGATGAGAGCTCTTGCATATACCATACGACGACAACATAACTGAGTACATTCTCTCACCAATGTCCGCGCATCAGAATTTGTTCGGCCCTGGCGATATCCCAAATAATCATTGACACGTAGTCAATGCCATCTCTACTTGTGGCCATATGTACGATATTCCGTTTACTAGTACCGAACATCTGCGGACGCTATCTACTGAGTTCCTACGTCTGCAGCTAAGGGGGTTCAGACTGAAAGAATACAGAGTATATTTTACTCGGATTCCTTAGATACTCTAGCTGTTGACCTGATCTAATGGATCACAAATGTTTATGGAAACAGTTACACCTATGTTTGTTGCACCTGGACCCAAGGGTGTGACTGCACTTCATTCATTTCTGTGCATGTATTCTTATTACCGTAGTTGCTTACTCAGTGCTTCAACAATTTTCACGCTGCTGTGAAAACTGCTGCACGGAGAAAATTCCTGGATTCTGAGTCCGAATCAGATGAGGGGTTTTACAGATGCAAACATAGCACTCAGCTGGCCTTTGCTTCTCGTACACTTCAATCCGAGCCGGTTCCTAATGTTGTAGTGTGATACCTGCTCACACCGATTAGGTGCTGTCCTTTCCCACCGAACCGACGATGATTCCCTTCAGTCAATCGCTTTTGCTTCCCACTCCTGTAACCCACCTAGAGGAATTAGTCCCAACTGAACTGCGAAGCATTAGTCACTATCGTTGGCGACAAGCATTTTGGCCAATACGTCTACAGAAGACAGTTCGATATCCGCAAGCGCCACAAACCAATTCACTCACATTTTGTCAAGTAGAACGGAATCCAATAGATGCCCTCCCCTTGAATGCTAAAGTGGGCGCAGCATTTGCATGTCTATAACCACAAACTCCAATATGTTAACAGCTCTATTAATACCACGGCCCCTGCGCTGAGTCATCTACCACAGCAGCAGGGCATAACAGAGAACATTGAATCCCTAGAGTTTATCAATTTGAAGCATCACCTGGAAAGTGCACCTATTCAGAGTGAGTTGACGCGACACCTGTCGGACGAGGACCACGTGCTATTGACGTTGAAGCGGTCCCTACTGATCGCATGGCCTACATAATGACAGACGAGGTGATGTCATTTGCTTTACGTGGAAAGTGACTTGGGTCTACGCAGTGGCTGTATATTCCGATGTTCACGCACAGTCCCCGGGTAAACTACTGTCTCAGTTACTGAGAGATGGGCATGACGCACAACCTTTCGTGAACCGAATAAAGGCAAACGCACGTGGTCACCGTTAGTGGCCTAACATCAACCAGGATATACAGCGATTGCAGTGATCGCAAAGCTCTTAGCTTTGGGTCGATATTTTGGATGGTATGGTATTTGGATGTTCACTCTAAATAATTAAATGTGCATCCAGTTTTACAGGTTGCTTCCGAGTCAACGATCGCAAAAATGCACCACACATTTACCATTTCCAGCATTCAACAAACGATATACACCGATAAGGGCTCACCATTTGCTGGTGGTGTTTCAAAATTTTTTGAATAATTATTGAATATAGCACCGTAAAGTTGCCCCGTAGCATCATTGCCGAACGGGCCAGCAGAGTGTGCGGTCCAGACCATTAAGCAATGTCTCAATCGGACTCTGAAAACCCTGCAAACATGGCTAAATCGCCTGTTCGCTTAACGTACGACAACGATTGAATTGATGTTTAGTTTTTTATTACGCACCAAGTCGCACCTGATTTTTCAAAACTGAATAAACGTCTGAGTAAAGAAAAGATGCGTAGGGGTGAAAAGACGTCCGAAGAAACGCATCCTTGTTTCTGATCCTGTGTATACAAAGCTGCCTCATAATGCAAGTTGGCAACCCATACACTTCTGTTCTGCATGGGTAGCTATTCCGAGCTACAGCTGGCGGACGATCACTTGGCAGGTCGCCACCTTGATCACGTCCAAGCACGCTCAGTGGAGTCGCGTGAACTGTCAGCAATCTGCTACTGCTACCACATAAATGAATGGGGACATGTCTGCACAAACCAAGAAACCGCAAACCGACACTGAACAACCACAATTAAGACGGTCTCAGCGCACGCTCACGTTGATCCTTACTAACCCGGAGACTACTTTCTTTACCCGGGAAGGGAGGGATGTCACATCCGCACTGAAGTATATACTGTGAACACATTACTCGCATAGCTGGCTGACGTTTAACCTTATCCTGCGTTTCTTATTTCATTGACTCCACTTGGTTATATTGGCCACCGTAAAGTAGGAAGCTTTCATTAAACGGTTGCACGCTTCAACTACACGTTCTATTGTGCTCATAACGTCATGGTCCAATCTTAACAGAGAGCTCAGTCGCAAATAGACTCACCTTCTCCACTTTATCGGGGACTCGTAAAACAAAGGACAAAGGCGATGCATCACCTGGTCCTGGGTTCCGTAGATTCCGTGTAAATTTCTTCAGCACTGAATCGGCGGACAAGTAGAAATGTGTGAATATCGTGAACTGGACAATCTGGAAGTTGCGGTTAGCTTTCGTTAGGACGTGAGAATGCAAAGCTCACTCGGTGATTTTATCAGACGGCTTTAACCCAAGCAGACACATAACATAAGATCAGTTAACAGTGTGAATCGATGGTGGTACCGTACGCTTATTTTAGCGGTTAGGTCTTTTTCAGAACAACTGTTGGAGATTCAGTGCAAGTTGCTGGGTATTTCCGTTCAGCTGCGACTTCAGTTATGCAGTTTTGTACGGACGAGAAGCGGCCTAACTGATTAAGCTTATTTAAAATGGTCAACGTTTACGGGATTAATAGAGGGGGATGGTTATGTTAGCACTTACTAGTTGCCAAGTCCTTTTCATTTATACTCGACAGGCTGAGCTGCAGCGATGCAGTATGGAATACTTGGGTGACCATTGAAGAGCACGTCGTCTGAATTCCGGACACAGGCTATTTGTCAGTGGGTATGAGGGACCGTAGATGTCATCAGACTCCGCAGCAGATGTTTCCGATGTTGCAACGTTCGGGATGAGGCGTATCAGACATTGGTTTTCGCTGCATATGGTTGTGCAGTCATACTTGTCTAAAGTGACCACTCAAGGGACCGACAATAGGTGGTCGCCTTGGACAGGTTCATGCATAGAGACGTTACTCATAGGAGACAACGTCAGGGATGTTTTTGGCTGGTCATCGTAGGCAAATAGTTGCCATAGCATGTTGGGCTGTACCAACGCTTGGCTTAATTCTGAGGATGCAGTGAGCTTTGAACCGGTCAGAAAGTTTTAAACCTCCGCTAACTTATAGCTCGAGTGGTTACAGCCAACTCGACAGCGAAAATCAATTAAATATGGATCCAAATGGGCTTCAGACGAAGGACACCCTGGGTCGGGTAACTGTGGTTGATTGGGGTTAGCTTGCCTGCATTGTTGCAAATGATTTCACCTAACGTCTAATAATTACTTTTAGCGAGAGTTGGAGTAGAACAACTCATAAGCCAACCTTTGGTTTCGTACCCTGTGTTCGACCATCTCGTTACTCCAATGTAAGGTTATCCTAGTCCAGAAATGCGATCGATTACCGGCAGAAGCGGAAGAGTAGATGAACACTGCGGTAAGTTTCTTAGAAGCGACTATGCCAGGAGAGTGTAGTGGCCCCTTTTCAAACAAATATGGCGAAACTTGCTTCCTATAAACACCAGTCGGCGAGCTCCCCATCGCCGTTATTTCCTTTAAATTTGTCAGAACATCGGGCGGAAATAGGCTGTGATAGTCACGCGATACTCACGACAATGAGAACTAGGCACCAATAGATCTGTATAACCGATCAAGTTCCGCCGTACTCAAAAACCTTTACCCGTAGCTAGTATGAGGCAACCGGGCACTAGACTTCAGCATTTGGATCTCAAATAGCTCCGCCGAGCCACAGTCCCCAGAGACATCAGCCACATATGCAGATTGCTGCAAAGGTCATCTGGGATGTCATCCTTACGGTCTCTACTTTTACAAACACCTCTAACGCTAATAGAGAGACAAACATTAAGCAATCAGCACCTGGCAGGAAATCAAAGCCAATTATCCCAGCACCTTAGACCTCAAAAACGGGCTCTAACATTAGCGACCCGATTTGTGCAAACATGTACCTCAAACTATCGTCATCACATTGCGTGGTGTGGTGTCTGAAGACCTGAGCCAACGGAACTCATTTTGCATATTGATGAACGTAAAAGACAAATCCACAAACCCAGCACGAGTTACACGTCACTCTAACTCTGCCCACTGACGCGAAGCTAGAGTAAGTTGGTTGAATATAGAACCCGCCATTCATGTAGAAAATGCTTTACTTTCTGCAAGCGCGCCACCACGCGGATGCTGTAAGATGCACATCGATCATGGTGTACCTTGCAGCGCGCTGCATTAGAAAATAAAAATCTTAGAAGCACCTAATAGACAAGATCCTTTAAACACCGTTTTCATTCATGGCGTGCCATAGCTTCCTCCACAAGATTGTCAAGAATCCTGAAGTCACGGCTTGGAACAGTGGCGGTTCATTCATAACGCACTTTTTGGATACCGTTGTTGCGTGATCGCCCAAAAGGCTACCACTCTCACCAAATTATAAAGAATGTTGCCAAGAATCGTAAATCTAGTGGACCAATTAGAGGAAACAGCAACAGACGGGTTAGATCGCTGGCCGAACAATCGGAAATGTCCTTTCTCTTAACTTCTGGTGAATTCTACGGAAGCCCTGCAAACATCAGACTTCAAATCATCTGCATAGGTAAACTTGTCTGCGATAACACAGGGCACCCACTTAACTGTTCGCCTACTCGGATGTGAAGGAGATCGAAATGAGGAATGGGACATATTATGGCCAAACCAACATGAAGACGAGGTGTTAGTATCCCATCCAATAAAGAATAACGGCCAAGTTCACAACGGCTGGCATTCTCCCACACCTGATCCTACAACCCAATAGCGGCCTCCTAGAGACCAAAAAAGTAGCGTGCCTTTCAACCAATCTTCAGGGACAATTCAACAAACTGGATGCACTGCAAGATCGCCAACATTTTAGGACATAGAACATCATCGGTATAACTGAGACGTGGCTAGACGATGGAATGACGAAGGTTGAAAAAACTCTACCTGGCATGTTGCTCCTAAAATATGACAGACGCACAAAAGGAGGAGAGGTAATCCTTTATTAACAAGGAAGCTTATAGTGTGAGACCATGGATGATTCATACTCGCCGTTCCCCGAAACTATAGTGCCGCCTACAGTTAAAAGGCACTGAACCGCCTTATAGATGGTGTATTGCCTCCCAAACCATCCATATGGCAAGAAGGGCGGCAGAGCGACCGCTATAAAACGCAAAATAAAAGGAAAGTGCACTCACATTATTACTAACATGTTTCCAAGTGCACTGTTCAGAAAACCCTGTCACAGTCGGAGAAAAATCTAAAGCCGATCTGAAACAGCTAGCTGATAGTGTTCCTGTTTACAATCACTACATTCTGCCCACTCGTTTCCGAACAAACAAAAGGACATCTGTGCTGCATTCCATGCTAACCAACGAGAAACATCTGATTGATATGTTGAAGTTAAACTGTCTTTTGGGCCGTAGTGATCATGCAGTCACCAGTTTCAACATCATCTTCCATGCGCAAGATCTAAAATGTGAACACTGGGACGATAAACACCATCACACGCCACGAGTGCTAATCCCGGTTGTCAGTGACACGACCAAATCGTTCCTCGCCGAAGACTACCCGGTAGTCGCCTCGTTCGAATGCCTCAGCAGCTTCAATGGATCAATTAAAATGGCTTCAGTGACAATAGTTTGCAACGAGTACAAAATAATTTCTTACATTAGAAGCAGTACGTGAGAATGGATGGTAGTTCAAGACGCAGAAGGACGAGCGTATAGATTATCTCCGATGCCAGAAACTTGGGACAAGTGCGTAGCCCAACGCAAACACTCCACCCAACTGCTCAGAGATGACAAAGCCACACATTAGCAGAACTTGTCGAAAACCTTTAGTGACTAACACAAAATGCTGCATTCGCATGTCAGTAGCCTTCGATAGGTGAGGCGGATATTTTCTCCGCTTCCGATGGCCAACCGCCAAGCAAAACCGACTATAGAGGTAACAAGTGATTCGAACGTAATATGTCCCCACATTTCAGCGGGTCTTACTATCAGGCGATCTTCCAGCGTTTGTTGCCCACGCCGCAAGATTTCATGTACATCTCTGTTACTGCGGTAGCGGCGTTGCAGAAGCAGACGCCTCTGCGCAACCACGACTCCACTTGTGTCAATAACATTCGCCCAGAGGCACTGAGAGTAACCGCAGCATGACAGCTAGTAGAAACACTATCTCCGTGATTCAGCGCTGATTAGATAAGTACCAGGTTCTTACCATGTGAAAGCTTGCGATAATATCCGATTCACAAAGGCGGAAAAAGGTGCGAGGCTTCAAACTGAAGTCCAGTATATTTTCTCCCTATACTGTCCAAATAAATGGAATCTACCACTGCCGAAGCATGGATGTGCTATCTGGAAAACTGCAACATCACTGATCCCGAGCATCATAGCTTCCATCGAGCGCGATTGCCCACAAGGATTCTACAAATAGCACGGTGTAGTTAAACCGAGTTAGTTGACGTAGAATGGAACGTTGGTTTAATCTATCCGTATTTTTCGAAGGCATTCGCTCGTTGTAGAGTATCGGATACTCCTTTCCAAGCTCCTGTTGTACGGGGTCGGTGACCATCTATTAAGCTGGATCGTCAAGTCTCTCCTTCCGTGACGCTTAGTGGTCAGATTTCGGAGCTTCTAATCTGACCCCATACAAGTCAAGTGTGGTGTGCCTCATGGCCCATTTCTGGGACCACGATTGTCTTTGGTATTTACTAATTGCCTCGCACAGACAATCGCTTCAAATTTCCCATTCTTTGTCGAAGATAGCCAAATATGGCTCAGCATTTAAGTGAATGCCGACCAATGGTTGCTTCATTGTGACAGATAGGGTCAACTCGCAATCTATCACAATTCAACGTGAGTAAATGCAAGGTACTCTCCATACAACGACGGAACACCTACGCCTACAGGATAAGAGCGCAATTACAGCAGCAATCCTCTGTCGAATATGACCTTAGCGTGTTGCTTCAGGATGGCATACGTTGTTCCAGGGGATCAGTAGGAGCATCGAAAGCTGGTAACTAACAAGTCGGTCTGTTGAGACGGACGTTCGGGTATACAGACATTCCTATTTTTCTAGTGAGTCTGCAATACATATATCGGCACCCATATCGAGCACGCAGTTCAAGCCTGACATTCATGGTTGAAACTCAGTCTTAGTGCACTGGAGCAGCCTAAACGCCTGGCTCCCCAGCAGCTTATTGGAATGCACAATCTCTCACACGATAAGCGGCTTAAACGTTTTGGATTATTCAGTGGACTGGATGACTGATTACGCGGCGACGTGATGATGGCTCACGTGATTCTGCACGATTCAAATCATGTGTGTCACTCTTTAGTTTAACAGCAGTAGCACAAAATAGCGAAACCACTCCTTGAAACTGACAAAACTGTATAGATGTCCGGTTTGCCACTGACGTTTGTTTTCTGTTCGCGTATGTCAAGCGAGGGATGCTCTAGGTAAATCGGTCGTCACTCCTCCGACCCTAGCCATTTTAAAAGGCGGTTAGATGATGCAATCACCTGTTAACATTTTGTCGCTGCATTATTTTGCCATTCTACTCCTTGGAAATACCTTGGATTTAATATTTATCATCTAATCCTGCTAAGAAAGTATACGAAGTGCAGGAATACTCTTTTACAAGCGATGCGGCTTTTTAACATTCAAAATGCTAGCGTTTCTCGATAACCACATCAGGTTATCCAACGGAGCTTGTTAAGTGGGACTTCTTAACCCTTTTGGAATCATTGTTCATTGGATCACACATTTTCCGTTCAGCGGTTTCCACTGTGAGTTGCGAAGTTGCCTACGCACGCTTACATCTCTGGTCTGAATGGCTCACTGCTGCATCCTCCGCTTTCGTCCACATTGCTATGCGCTCATTTCTCTGCATTCACGCGCCCAGGTAACTTAGTGTAGGCCACTCCATGACACCGACCTATTATGTGAATTCACTTGTGGTTGCTGCAGGTGAGGGGAAGCTACTTAACAACTGATCTGTACCCTGTCCTAATGCCATAATATCCTATCTCCTTAGGCGTTTAGATTCCACTCAGACGCCTGAAAACCCGGTGTCGTCACCCAATTCCCTCGCTTAAAGAGGACAAAAGAAAAGGCATCATCATTACGCCGGCACACTGCATCGACACTTCGTTACCACGCGACCATCAAGATGCGCGTGCGCTAAGTATACCGCGTGGTAGTCCAAGCCTATTTGGATTGGCACCGATGAACTTCAGGTTACAAGGCAACCGCGTAATTCTTTTCACCACTGACCGGACTGATCATCCTATTTCGCATGCCTCAGGTTTCTCAAACATTCTCAGCAAAATGAACTTTATTTGACGTAGGATCTGAGCAGTGTGTTCAATTGTTTGTTTCTGGAACAAGTTGTTATCACTTGTTTTGGACACAGGGATTCAGGAGCTCGCTGCTTCACAGCAAGCCCATGATGATCTGCTATTTATGTGATAGGTGCAGTTGGCTGTTGTCATACCCGATCAGTGGCGCGATAGATGTGCGCGAGGACGGTCACCTACGCGTATTGCAGGGAGTCGAAAGCCAACGACTACTCCTGAACCGGAGAGACAACAAACACGGGATAGTAGGGAATTACCAACGGACACAATGGATGAGCCAAGACTTGGCAGGGCGAACCTTGCGGATCGAGCCGAGTGCGGATCACGAGCGACGTCCGATAACGAGGCTGGGCACAGAAAAAAGGAGGCGGTATTTGTCGAGAAGGCAGTGAATCAGACCAATACGCTGCTAGCAAAGCCCATAGGACTGAACGCGGGCCGAGTGATGCAGCTACGTAAAAGCAAATCGTGAGCTTTCCAACGACTCCTGGCTCGTGATAATCGGATTTAGTGAAGCGAAGATATGGGATGAAACATGGAGAAATTGTTTCCTAAGCTCAAGTTTGTAAAGCACATGGACTGGGCCATCTCCCAAATCCCCATCCGCCGTGCGTCGTGGGAAGGAAACGCGGTCCATATCAATACAGATTTGTGAGTTGTCAGTTGCACACTGTTGTGACAATCCACACTCTGGTCCCCTCCCTCGTCGTTCTCGCTACAATGTGAAATGCACCTTCTGGTAGCTCTGTACATGAGCCAATAATTTCGGTTCCACGTTCTATGACGACAGGACTTAGACTAAAGACGCTGTAGCGCTGAAAATATGTCATGTTCCAGCACACCACCTTTGGTTTCATTGTGACGGTATATTTCAACCTTCGGACGAACCGTAAGAGACACAGTATGGTGAATGGTTGCGCATAACTGGAATCCGAAGGTCACCAAACAGCATCACAGCTATCAAAATACTACCTTTTACAAACTGACAAGGCAAGGGCGTAAAAGGGTTAACTCTACTGCAGTGGGTTAGCTCATAGTGGTTGCATTAGGCAATAGAGCTGCTGGTAGCTCTTGTGGAGCTCCGGCCATATGTGCTTACCATAAATGACAATTATCAGTCGCATTGGCACAAAGAATGTGAGCACGGTTAGGAAAATTAGGAATAGAAGTACCAGTCCACTTAGGCAGGGAACTTGCCACCGGAATATGCTGAAAAGAGATGGGCATGAACGTTCTAGAGCTGGAGTAGTTAAGCGAAGAGAGACCACAACGGCGCTGAGAATAAGTAACTTGTGATGGACTTTGTGGTGCATTTAACTGAACGCAATTACTCCACTGCCTAGGTTTGGGCACGTTGCACACATACACATACTTACCTGTCGAATTTTTCCACTGCCGAAGCAATTCCCTCCATAACATCCAGCAGCGTTCCCATGACCTCCCTTGCTTTCCGCAGTTTGATTTTTAGCGGTTTTTTCTTGTCCTTCTAAAGTAAGTGTATTGTGTATGTATGGTTATCCAAACAAATTCAAAACGATATATAAACATTTTTCCCGGGTAGTGGGTGATTTTACAACATACAACACTGCAACACAAGTACATGATAATGTCATTAGATACGGGATTGCGTCCAGTTATATTTTTATAGTCACTTAAAGGTCATAAAGTTTTGCTATGTGCATGTCACGGACCTATCCAACGACTCTATATCGCCTGACACTGCAGAAGAGTTTTTCAGTAATTGACCTTGGCTTGTTCCAACTTACCTTCTCCGATTCGCCTAATGCGTAACCTAATCTTCCACTACCTCACATCTCTCTTCCCAAATGTTTGAAGGGTTGGGTTGGTTCTGTTTGTAGATGAAAGCGAGGCGCTATTAAGTCGACAGTCAGAACGCATCCAGTTGTTTCCATTAAGCATTTCGATCTCCCACTTCTGTTCACGTACCGTGCATCAACATTTCTGTGAGCCATTTAGTCAGCTTCTGACTGTCGGCTCAAGGGCTCGATGTAACAGCATAACAGAGCTGGTCCCTCACATTCTAGTTCCACATTTCCTTATTTTCACCCTTAGACTGACCATTTTTCATCATTTGGTGTCGACAGACTCCTGGGAGCTCAAAACGGTAATTATCCATCTACAACTTCAAGTACATCAAACTACCACCAAGATAAATGGCCATTTTATGTACCTTGTATCGACGTCTACAATTCGACTTCCGAAACTCTTCCATGGTGGGGATACTCGTCGGGCCCGAGTGTGAGACGCTGTTTTCTTTCAATATTGCCACATCGTTCGGTTAATTGGCTGAAGTAATCCGTCGGGGCGGTATGGCTGTCAGTCTAGAATTCCTTCCCAGTCATATGATGCATATGTTATACCAAACCACAGTGAAACACTGAGTGTCTGTAATAATTTGACGTACGTGACACGCCTACTCTCTGGTTAGTTTACATTCCACCATAGATATCCGAGGCAGTCTCAGGTTGACAGAGCCCATGGGCTTATTGACAAGAGGATAAAAAGAATAGTCGCAACAAGCATGAACCACAACGTGGTGCGATGGTTTGCATACCACTTCGACCCATTGGACTATACTGGGTGGTGCCCCCGGACCCCTTGAGAGGTACTCCTACCAGATTGGTCAACGGTTAAATGTCAGACATACTAAGTCTCCTGGTACTCCAGGCTGGAGGTTTGAAATGGGGTGGCGTCCATTTCTGTAAACCCTAATCATTGCTATCAGGCTTTTGAGATGGCTTTTATTGAGGAACCTAATCGTCCTATTTTGGTCTGAGCGCCCTGAGAGTATCCCAGTCCACGTACAACCATGACTATTTCCTCAAACCCCAACCACATCTGCTGCATGCAACAAGGCCGATAAGTGAAAACATGCTACTGCTGGCGCCTCACTTCCTTTCGTTCCACATGTTTCTCTTGCTCCCCTCATGACCCCCATTACTAACCCTCATGCCATAGTTTCCTATCTAACTGACAGCAGCTGTAATGCTAATGAAGGAATACTATCTGCAGCTATCTTCCCGTACCGCTCGCTAGATGCCAATGGCCAAAAACCCTTTATAAGGCCATGCTGTCCCCTTTCTCTGGCGTTGGTCAGCCTTCGCACTCCAAAATAAATAGGTCAATAGGCTGCACTCGCACTTATGTGGAAACCATGTGTATTGACATGTGTTGTGTAACCGAAACCAGGATCAGTGATGCTTACGGGGTTGTTAAATTAACTGCGCCTAATTTGTCCTCTCGCTACTGATTACAAGCATCCGGAGTCGCTGATGCGGCAATCACCGGTCATGCTGGGATGGGTAGCTTTATCAGCTCCGAGTCTGAGTCATTGTTGTTTGATAGGATTCCCGTGAGCAGCCTTTTGTGTGCAGTCCGTTTGACGACTTCAACTAAGATAGAGCCACAGATTATTGATGGAAGCTGTTTGTTTGTGAAGTTTGCCTATTCCCCCATCAACTGTACTTCTGATGCTATCAAGGACACCTGCTACGAACTGAACACGCTGTTTCGCAGTGTTACCAGCTCAGATATCGTTGTGGTTACAAGGATACGAATGCGCAACTAGGTCGTCTGAGCTCTTAGGAGGCTCAGCCGTGTTAGGTATGGGCTTGACTCCGAATGGATGGCCAAGGGTGAGTCTCTGGCACAACTGTACCCGCAGCACCGGCTGTTTCTCAGTAGCACAGTTTTTAAACACAGTGGGCACCGAAGTACAACTAGGCGTCCGCCTACAGCTGACAAGTGATGGACCCAAATAGATCATGTTACCATAAGTTACAGGTGGTGTGGTTCCATCCTGGATTGTCACTCGTTCTGGAATACCTGCGTCGACTCTGATCGTGCCTTGGTACGCTGTCGTTTTTCAATGAACTTTACCTGGAGACGCAACAAGCACCCATCTCGATTGGCGACTGGAAGGTTATCGTACTCCCTAGTCAGGCAAGCCTACAAGCATGCACTACGTACCGAACTTTCACTCTCTTATCCTAATGACATTAGGCCTCAGTGGAATAGTATCTTGTTCGCCATACACGACGCTGGAGCCTCTGTTTGCGACACTAACAATCGTCGCCCACCAGTCACTGGATATCCGAGAGGTCTCTGAACCCGTTGGAATTCAAAAGTAGACTTACTGCTGACTTTGAGCACATTGTGACCAGATGGACTACTAGACGCGAAATAAAGCAGAGTCTGCGTGATGACAAAGAATCGTAGTGGCCCAGTCGGGTCCAAGAAATGGAGAAAGTGGGATCAGTAGTCAATTACCATAAAATCTTCCAGCCGATCTGCAATACTTGGTCCAGGAAACTAGGCGTCAGTGAAACAATCAGAGACAGTGGGGGTGTCCTGAGTCACAATAAGGAGCACCGTATGGTTCGTTGGGTGTAGCACTTTCTAGAACAGTTTAGTTGGCTCCTTGCTCCTTAAGCCCATCCCACCTAAGTGGCGCAGGTTGAGCCATGGCCAGTTACTTTAGATGTTCCATCGGAGACTGGGGTCCGAAACGCGATCAGAGCCCTTATTCGCTTTCGAGCTGCTGATTCGCATTCTTTCTCACCCTCGTCATTTAAGGCTGGTAGTGAGGTCTTCTGCACAGCACTGACCTCCGTGTTCGGACAGGTCTGGAAGGGAGAAGCCATCCCAGGTAACTGGAGTGAATCTATTATAGTGACAATATGTAAGAAGCGCAGTCATACTGAATGCACTAACCACCAGAGTATTAGCCTAACCCCGGTGGTGACACAATTACTAGCCTATATTCTCATTCGTCGCCTTGCTGCGAAACAGGAATCCCGGATTAGGTAAGAGCAGGTAGGATTCCGCTCAGGATGGGGCTGGATGGGCCATATAATCATTAGAGCAGCGCCACACGTACCACAGACCGACAATACCCTTGTTCCTGGACTTCAATAGTGCGCTGGACTCAATCGATCGCTTCATTCTGTTCGATGTACTTGCGCGACAGTGTGTTCCCACCTAATCTGTGATGGTGATGGTGTTGGTGATAACTGGTTGAAGAAGCAAAAATGTAGCTCTGTGTAGTTACATCTAATACCACTCAGGTACAACGACCCGTTATGTTGGAATGCACTCGATATACTTTATATCGGTAAAGTGTTTGTCCAGGAAGTGTTTGAATTCCGACCTTGCCTAAACTATGTGTTGCGGCAGGTTGTTCCATACATTCACCAATCTCCGTTCGAAAAAGAGTTGGTAAGTGACCCGCTTCAAATCCGGTACTACAAGCCTGTACCTGTGTCCTCGTGTGCTGCTTGGTGTGCGCAGATGAAGCAGCGGCCTCAACATGGGGTAATCACCGAGATGTAATATCCCGTGCGTCATGATGAGGTCAACCCGCAATCGACGATAAGCTAGGTTGTAAAGCTCTAGTTTCTTACACCGGTCTTCATACGGCACACCTCGTAAATTGGGAATCAGCCTGGTGGACACATGCTGCTCTCTCAATCTTCTCTACCTCGCCCCGGGTGGTATGACAATACGCGAGAGAGCCATACTCTACCATTAGTCGTATTATTGAGATGAAGAGGCAAGTGGCAATCTCTTCGACCAAATGCTGAAGTTGCGCCTGAGCGGCTATGCATATGAAGGTCGTTTCGGTAAAGCCTATCCGTGCTGTTCATAGACTTTAGGTTCTAGCATGAGAGAGAGAGTACACCGAGGTCTCACACGTAAGGCGCGGGATGCAACGGCTGACCGGTTACAGTGTAGCTCCGACTGTACACATACTTAGCCTCATGAATTGCGACTTGACCGGATTGATCGGAAGCTTGACCTCTGCGTATCAAGTGGAAAGACTGTCTTGATCCCGCTGAAGCAGGTTACATTCATTGGGTGGGCGGAGTACTCTTCACACCTTTAAGTCATCTGCAGACAACGAAAAAAGGCGAACGGAGTAGCTGAGGTAAATCGTTTACCTGGCTTAGGAACAAAATGGGCCCCAGTACAGCGCCTTGAAGCACGCCAATGCTCGGTCGACACCAGTCGGTCAAATGCTTGTCGACCTGGACAGTCCATTTGTAACCAACAAGGAAGTTCCTGCTCCATCGGCGCAGCGAGCCGCCAATACCACACCCCCTCAGCCTGTCGACGATCGCTGCAGAATTCATCTTGTCAAAAGTCTTACTGAAGTCAATGTAAATGACGTCCACGACTTGCCTTAGTTCAGTGCTTGCAACCATTCGTGTCTCGTCATCAATAGTTTAGTAATCCACGAGCGACATTTTCACGAAAGTATGCTGTGCGTGCGTCAAGAGGCTTTTCAAATCCAAAGGCTACAGTATTCCCTTCTTCACGATTTTCTCAAGCCTCTTTGTCAAAACAACGGTCAGGCAGATAGCCTGGTAGTTGTCCACATTGCTTGGGTCACCATCTTTCGGTATTTGCTTTACGACTCAGCATTTCCAGTCGCTCGCTAATAAACCAGTGGATAGTGACCTGTTGAACAGCTCGGTTAAATAACGCGAGATGATGGCTCATAGGGACTTGAAGATCAGTAGGTGGATTCCACCTGGCCCGGCAGGCTTCGTCCCGTCAAGACTTGCCAGAAGCTGCGTATATCTTCAGTGCTGCAATCTAGGCTGTCAATTTCGGCGGGAGCGGTAACCGTCGAACTCGGTGCAGATGTGGTCATTTGCAAACACGGAAGCGAAGTGCACCGTAAATGCGGACATACGATCTATGCTCGAGGTTAGGGGCTGTTTGCGGCTGCAAGCTGCTCTTCGAGTCTTCTGCGCTTTTCTATTTTCGCGTTTATGTCCGAAATCTCTCTGTACCTTGTACGCCTTGTAATCCTCGCCAGAGCCAGATAGCGCGAATTTGTTCCATTGCGTTGTCGTCAGGCCAGTTTGCTGTACTCTTTGTTGAACCAATGTGGCTTGACTGGCCCACGTTTCCGATACTTGAGGAGTACAAACCGGGCACATGATTTCACTCCCTCTTTAATTATAGCCCACCAGGTTTCGACAGACCATTAAAGTGCACCTTACAACAGTTGAAGGTTAGCTCCAGCGGGGGAGTATAGGGCAGCGCCAGTTCCAAACTGGCTCCGAACCTTGAGTGGCCACTCGCTCCTGGGGGCTCCAAGACCTGCATGTCATGCGCACGTTGCTCACAGATAGTCAAAAGCAGGTCTAAGCACGATGGAGTCGCGCGCGCAGTTATGCGCGTCGGCTGGTTGATGTGCTGTATGGCTCCAGTTTCAAATATCAACCGAAAACTTCCTCTCGACTTCACCATGATGATGATGCTTATGCTGATGAAGATGTGAGGATGATGGTGACGATGGCGACGATGATGACGATGATGATGATGATGAGGAGTGGAGGAGGAGGAGGATGAAAATGAGAATGAGGAAGACGGATAAACTGGAGAGCGGTTTTCATTCTCTCAAATCCAATGAATGACTTACAGTCTAGTTGACGATCGCGGCCAGAGGAATCACTCAGCGCATGAATAAAACTATCACACCACTGTGGCACAGCGCGCATATTGCTGTATTGCATAGGCAGTGCTGGCACAACGGCGCACTTGCCGAACCTTCACAACCCGTGTTTTTAGTTCACAGTCTCTCTTCTCCTGATCGAATCGTTTATGCTATCCACCTGTTGATGTCAACCAATTACCACATCGGGGTCCCCTATTTGGTTATAGGCTAGGTTTTCAAAAATGTATCCGATATGACGAAGCCGCCCTTCCCACATCAACACACTAGACGTCTATACCTTTTTAAGTTCTGCTATCATTTTAATCGCTCGCCTCCTGCAAACTTTCCTTTCTTCTCTCTCGGCTTTCCATTCAGGAATCGATCAAGTCAGTCTCATCACAAATGCGTAGGTTGGTCAAATTGTGGATATACAACGAGACAGAGTATTTCCACTGCACTGGAGCGAATATGTTGGTTGTAAGCTTAGTGTAGTAGGAGAACACCTTCCATAGGCCACTGATACCACGGGACACTAGTCATGTCTAATGTGTTTACTGAGGGGTTCCGGTTGCTGCTTAGTATCAATTTTTCAAATGGCATATTGCATTGTTTACGCTGTTGAATGTAGACCGGTGGTAAAACTATGTTCCTAGCACACCTTGCCAATTCGGCCTCAGGATGGCCAGATCGCGCCTTGGCCAATTGAAAGGAGGAGACCTAACCAGTCAGTCGCCTTTATGTATTAGGACTTTCTGCATAACTTGTTAACTCCCTTCAGTAGGACACTTTTAATTGACTAATGGTGCTCTGACATACAGTTTCTTCATCCAAGGATACTCTTTTCGCCCCAGCCTTTTCCCATGGGAATGCTTGGTTTCATCTCTTTTCCAAATAATGCCGTTTATTTTCGTAACAGTCCTTGCGCAAATCGTTGAATTTGGATCCAAGATACATGGGTTGGTAGAGTATAGCTGATAAACCAAGTTCAACCAACTTATTGAAGATGCCCTCAACTAATTCATCCACAAGATTAGTCGGCTTCTCCTCAAAAATATCATTCCCGCTTGAATTGGTGAGCAGTTAGCCTGAGCCATATTCCATATCTTTCACATGTAAGGAAGGAGTAGTGGAATTCCATGAGTTTTAAACAAACTCTTCTCGGTAAAACACCACGAACGCTCCCAGTATGTTGGACTCAGTGATGGTGCGTATTTCCTTCGAACTCGTACCATACAAATTGCTGCAAATGACGCATGCTGCTGCTGGACCACAGTCGATGGATGCAACATGACTAATTTACTCACTGGTATAATGCCTTCCATCTTCTACGGCCTTGCGGCAAAGCGCATCTATCCTCAGAAACATTACGTCCATCGGCAGCCAGCCAGCAGTTTCATAGTGACTGCTATGTTTAGAGGATCCCATCTTACTCTATTTCTAAAGCGTATTCCTGGCACATAACAGCAAAAAGTCTATCCTAACAGGGCAGTTTACCCTCGCATGTCATATGGCTTAAGGATATGTACGATCCATGCATGTAACCGACTGCTCCATTCAACCATTAGATGCATTAGATGAAAAGTCAGTGAAGAAAACCGCTCCAGTGTACAAGTGATGTACGCTGTAAACACGTGTTAACGACGAACTACAGGAGCCTGTTAGTGCCAACTTGTCCAAAATGCCGTGCCATAACTTTATACTTCTGTGGAACAACCGCGTCCATAACAGTATAGCTAATATTCCGGCTAAAACATTAATTCATCCATTCATGTTCTATGCTTTGCTTTACCACATTAACCATCTATACCTATACAAGTTCATCTGGGTGAACGGCCACTGCAGCCATCGGTTGACAGACCGTTTTGTGTGAGATCACATATGCGAGCACATGCACGGGGGTAAGGCAGAGCTCAACTCACTTTCAGTTTGGTTTCCTGATCATCAGAATCACTGTCCGAGTAATCATCCAGGTTCTCCTGCAAGGTGATCAAAATGTTAACCTAATGAGTTATTTAGTTTGATGCGGCCTTGTATGAACAAGGTACGATGAACAATGAATTTATACGGTTTGAGAAGCATTGCTTTACAATTACGTTGCTTGTTATGGAGAGTTAACAAAAGTAATAAAAAACAGTACTTTAATTATATAAAGAAGGCATTTTATACTCTATCTTAATATACTGAACTCCGCGTGGTTTCACTGCACCAACAAGCGAAAGATAATGTCGTGTTTAAATACTTTGCATTGTTTTTGTCCTTGATTCGCTTATCATACTCACACTTCTATTTAGCACTCGCTGGCCCAGTCATGTGGCCATGCATTTGATTGATTGCAATTCGATCGTCTATCGATTTAATTGTAGCGCGCGTATGTGCAGACAGTATTTCCAAACATACGTTCCGGTGCTGCTCTGGTCTGATGCTTTTTCGGGATACAATAAATTGGCGGCGCGTGTTACCGATGTCTACATGCTACTGCTCCTGCACCGTTTTGGACTGACTCTGCGGTTACCCAACTACAGAATGCTGGGAAGACTGGAAAATTAGTTTTTCCGATTATATTTCTGTGCTACCAGTTCTCAATCCATCCATGAAGCTGAAAACGGCGGATACTTTATGGCTTTTGCGCCTGTACCTCAGTTAAGAGGGTTGGCGTATATTTGATGCTCTAAAACTGCGAAAGAAAACCCACGTTGGCAGAGGCCTTATCGGTCCTCGATAAACATTGAGGTGTCCGTGTGAACACCTATACTTCGCGGTACAATTTTGCGCAGCTGAAACAAACATCTGGTGAATCAGTGGATGCATTCATTTCCCGTCTTATTTGTTCTGTTCGAAAGTGTGAGTACAATAGTATTCCCATGAAAAGGTGGAAAACACTATGCTAATACAACAATTGATTTCGGGTCTCACGGATTCTCGGATCAGATAGAGTCTCTTAATGGAGAACCCTGAAAAGCTCACATGGGACGAGGCCTGTGACATGGCTCGCACAAAGGTCGGAGTCACGGAACAAAACAATATTTTCCTCTATAATACAGGAGATACTAAAATTGGCCGTTTGGGTTCTACGCGCTCTCTGACGCGATCCTCAGTTGGAAATAGGTGTTACCGCTGTGGAAGTGCTGAACATCGTACCAATGATAAGTCATATCCTGCAAAGAGTGTAATCTGCCGGAATTGCGATAAAACCGGTCATTTTGCTTGTGTTTGTCGTTCCCGCGTCATTTCTTTAGTTAATTCTGCGAATGCCTCTAAAGCTTCTCCGGTCACCACTGAAAAATCTATATATGGCGTTAACGAATGCGAACATCCACTTTCGTTTTCAACTCAAGAACTCAAACTGCCTTCGCCGGATATTCGTTGCGTTTTTTGAAGCTAGAAACAAAAATATTTGTCTATACATGGGGCTAGATTCCGCATCACCAATCGCAGTTGTTCCACATGATTTTTACAACCAGCATTTTGGTCAGTTACCTGTACATCCTTCCGCTTACACTTTCAGCAGCTACTCAAATGGTGATGTCCACATACTCAGTTTTGTTATTGTTTCAATGTTTTTCTTAGAAACAGCAGGAAGCGTATAGTTGAAGTTTAGGTTTCTAAAACTGATAGTAAGCCTCTATTTTGACGTAATGCCATGATCTTATTAAACTTATCACCATGCGTCAGCCGGATAACTATTTCTAGCCTCAACCTTCATCCGTTACGGCCCAGTCACCAGAATCTCTTTCTTCCGGATATTGGTTGAGTCCCAAAAGCACTGCATTGCGTTCGGTTGAGCTCGGATTACAAACCGTTCAGCACTGCACAACCTAGGCCTGTACCACTGGTAAGGCGAGAGACTTGTCGCAGGCTTTGGACAATATAGTCACGCAAGACTTGGTAGAACCTATACAGTCTTCTGAATGGGTTCATCCACTAGTTGCTTTCCAAAATAAAGATGTCTCTACTCGTGTACGCACCGACCTTCGAGCGCTTATTCGACATATAATTCTGGACGAATTCCCTCTGCCTTCTCTCCACGAGTTGATGGTTAGGCTTTCAAACGCCAAACTTTTCTCAAAGCTGGATATTCACAGTGCATACTACCACATGCCACTGAATCCAGATTACCGACATTTGACTGCTTTCCTCACGCAAGACGGTTTGTATCAATACAAAGTGCTACCGATGGGCCTTAGTAGTTGCCGCAACAGCTTAGCAGCAATTTATTACTCTATCGCTATTAGATCTCGGAGGATGTGCTGTGCATATGGATGCTATTTGTGTCTGGTAGTAACCCAACCGAACATCAGGAAAAGCTTCATAATGTGCTGCATAGACTGAATGAACTAAATCTCCGCCTGAATGCCAGCAAATGCAAATTCGCTGTAACGGAGCTCGAGTTTATTGGACATGTTATTTCTACCTCAGGTACTAAGCTTAATGTGCAGAACACCAGAGCCATTCTCGATCGTTCAAAACAATGCAATGTTACACAGATGAAACATTTCTTGGCTTTTTGTTCTTATTACCTTCGACATTTACAGAATTTTGCGACTATTGCGGAGTCGTTGCGGAGGTTGACGCGCCAAAACCAGAAGTTTCCTTGGGCCACTGAACAACACGATGTTTACATGACCGTACGAGCGATTATTGAATGCACTCCCCCGGTAGCGAGCTTCAATGTGCACTGTCCAACCTTTGTTTCAACGGATGCTTCAGATAGTGGCTTAGATGCTGTTCTGTTCTAACTGCACAATGCTGAGGAGAAAGTCATTGCGTACGTATCTCGTACCTTGTCTGATACTGATAGAAATTATACCACTGGCGAGGAGGAGGCTTTCGCATGCATCTGAGTGTGTTATAAATGGCACTTTTACTTATTCGGACGTCGATTCACTTGGCACACTGATCATTCTGTTCTTACAACGCTATGTCGCGGTAACAAAGGCCAAAAGCTGGTACGCTTGAGTTTCTGGTACTTACGTGTATTGAACTATGATTATGAAATGACATACGTGCCAGGGTGTTTTAACTAACTTGAAGATGCTGTGTCGAGAGTCCCACTGTCCAACGACGAGGAAAATGAGGACTTAGACGAGGTAAAAATGATATCGCAGCTTTCAAACACCTACAATAACCTTTAACCTGATACGAGAGCACATTGACAAAGACCCTGTCCTAGCGAAACTTCGGGAGTAGATATCTACTTCATGGCCCAGTCGTACCAAGGTCCAACCTGAGTTACTTCTACACTATACCCTAGTGCACGTGCTTTCTACTGTGAGCAGCTGCATTATTAGAGGCCAGCAGTTTGTGGTCCCTGCAACCTTTATTTCTCTGGTGGCTGCATGTGCGCACGTAGGTCATCCAGCGATTGTGCGAACAAAAGGTCGGATACGACAATACTATTAGTGGCCAAAGTTGAATTCCAGCGTCGAGGCGGTTATTCGGGAATGTTACGCCTGCCAACAATCCGGTAAGAGTATGAGGCCCCTGAATGCTCCAGTGCAACCTATCGTGTACCCAATGAAGCCATGGGCAAAAATTGCCATCGATATTACGCGCCCGTTTGCCAATGCCCCCCCGGCAGAAGTGAAACGTGCTAGTGGCTACCTGTTTCTACAGCAAATGGCCAGAGACTATTCTATGCGGGGACGTAACTACAGACGTCATCATAAAGTGGCTCCGTTGTTTGTTTGCATGGTACGGTTTGCCAGAAGAAATAGTCACTGATAACGGCCCACAGTTTCGAAGTAACGAGTATACTGAATTCCTAAGGTGCAATGGTATCAGACACACGAGGACTATACCTTATAATCCTGCAGCGAATGGACTCGTCGAACGACTTAATGTTACTTTGAAAGAATCTCTACAAGTCCTTCAGCTTTCCGGAGAATCCTGGGATGATGCGTTGGTATCTGCATTGGAGGTATACGGAACCACTCCACATAATACAACAGCGAGGACCCCCTCGGATCTAATGCTGGGGCGTGTAATTCCAACTCGATTAAATGCAGCCTTTACATCCTAAGAAACCGCCGATCACAGAGAATACGAAAGAAGAGCTGGTTACCAGGCTAAATATAGACGCGCTTGGAAAACGTATCCTCCAGGGACATTTGTTCGTGTGAGACTACACAATTCCAGGAAAGGGAATAATGTATTAGGACCGCCGACCCGGATGGAGTCTGTGTGCTCGCCAGGAACTTACAAGTTGGCTGATGGGTCAAAGGTGAATGCAAGACGACTGCATACATCGCTATCCCAACGTGCTATTGAACAGATGAACACACCTACAACACAGCGCTCGGTACAAACTAATACCAACTTACGACGTTCCGTTCGGATACGCCGCCCTGTTTATCGATATGCTTTAATGAATAATACCCCATGACAATTCTTCGGGGTGCTGACATAAGATTAGATCGTTCATGGACAAGTAGTGCCTATATTTTTACGAACACAGGAGAGGACAATGTCGTGTCCAAATACTTTGTTTTGTTTTTGCCCTCCATTCGCTTAACCTACTCGCACTTCTATTTAGCACTCATTGGCCTATCATGTTCCCTTGCATGTGATTAGTTACAATGCGAACCTCTATCGATTTAATTGTGTGCGCGTGTGTGCGACAGTTTCCTCCATCCATACGTTCCGGTGCTATGCTGGTCTGCTGATTTTTCGGGATGCAACAGAGGTTTTCATTTCTCTCGATCAAGTGATTGCTTGGCCTTCTCTCCTCTTACATCCGCACCCCCGGCGCGCAAACATTGCACATCGCGGAAGTCGGTGTGCTGGTATGCGCAACACGTAGTCCAGCCATCGGAGCGTGGTGCGTGATATAGTGGTGCTGAGCGATTCACTCGCTCTTCCTGCACGAAATACGCGACACCGAACACGCTCATTGCTCCCACCAGACATGAGCCAAGCTGCGAAGGCAGCAATGATCGAATGTGACGATCCTTTTTATGTCTGTCGACCTGATGGGCTA